ACAAAATTATATATGTCGCGAGACTGTGATTTTTGATACGAAACCGCAGTGGTAAAAATGAACTCTGAATAAAGTCACTGAACCCCTTATTTAATTTCTTTTTATTAGTCTGACGAATTATTATTATAATTATGATTTTGATTTAATGAGGTCTATTCTGCACTATTCTGCATGATTTAATGAATACGCATCAAACCCATTAGATTACGTTTAACTTATTAACCTAGTCTTACTGAGACATGCCATTTAACATTGTTATTACGAATAAATATTAAAAATAAGCGTTCTGCCTCAAAAAAGATATTAGTTAATTTAATAAGCTGTCAGGTAATTGCATTGTCAAATAACCTGTCCCACTATCAAAAAATTTAAGGGGGGGGTATGCCGCATATTGTTGCATATTAGCCCATATTATTAGGATGTTCGCAAAAAACGAGAGCTTAATTCTTTTTTTTTTTTTTTTAAAGTAAACTCTTCATAGATCACTAAAAAATGAATTCGTACTTATTTAATTCGGAGGCATTAATTTTAAAATTCCTATCAAAAAGAGTCGCAAATCATCAACTTTGGTTAGGTATATATTAAGCTATAGTATTTATAAAATTAGAAAAACTTAAAAGTCAAAAAAAAAACAACTTAAAAAATAATTTTTTATTTTTATTTTTTATTTATTTATTTTTTGGTCTTTATTGACCTATGCAAATGTACATTGCAGAACAACCGATATCTAAGAGAACTTGCAAAAAAATGTCGCAGGTTAGTAAAACCTTATGTTAATTCATAAAGATATTTCATTTAAAAATTAAAATATAAACACGTATTATTTAACTTCGACATAGCAATCTACTTCAGAAATTCCTTCATTCACAATCTCAAATCTTTCACAGTATCATAACTTTTATTGCGAAAAATTATTACAAAAGATCAGTTATAAAAATAATAAAACAAAACAAAATAAAGAATTAAGTATAAAAACAAATGGTTACAAAAAACAAAAAACGGGCCATACAACATTAAAGGAAGCTTCACAAAATAGAGGCATAGAATTTGAAAAAAAAGTCGTTAATCTGCTAAAGAATGTAGACGACCACAAAAATTCAAGCTTTTCTGAAGTGTTAAAAATTTTACAAAATGCTCAAATAGGAAGATTCCTATACAAGCTAAAATTCGAGGTTCCAGATGACTTATATGATAAATTAGGAATCAAGAATGTTAGGCTAAGACCTTTTATTCCAGACTTTATAGAAGTTATCGAGGAGAGTGGTAAAAAATGTCTAATGATATGGGATGCTAAAGCAACAAAGGAAATACGCATTTCGCATCAGGTAAAATCGGTTTAACATGGTATTAGCGTTTTTTTATAATTTTTTCATTAAATTTTCTTTATTATTTAAGTTCCAAGTTACCATGTACGCTTATCTTTTAAATCATATAACCAAAAATAATGTGTATGGAATTTCAATTTCTCGAAAAGGTGGAATATTTTTACCATCAGAAAATGGCTTAAAACGTCAAACTTTCTCTATAGATCTTCCAAAAGTTGAACGATTCTTATGCAAAGAACTTCCACAGATAGTATCAACTCCGGAAGTTTCATGGCATTATAATTCTCGTTGTAAAGCTTGCGAATTTGTAAATGAATGTCGCGAAGAAGCAAAAGGGACAATTGCCATGATCCCATATTTATCCAAAGGAGATGCGTTATATTTAAAACAAGTTATTCGAAATGAAAGACGTGGTGATAACCCATATAAACATGAGCCAGATTTTGAAGAATTGGTTAGTTACGTAAAAAATGGCCCAAATGATGACAAAGTAAAACAGATTATTAAATATGACAAGGATAGCAAGAAATCACCGTATCTTGAATCTAAAACAAATGCTCAGGTAACTATTGTTTTTTAATTTCGAATTGTGATGGTTGACAAAAAATTGTTAATTATTAGTTTACATAGTTTATTCATACTCCAACTAGGACCTTTCCTCAGCATACCGATCATAATCTCGTAATTTCACTGTCTTTGGATAATTTTGTTTTACATCCTTATAGTTGGTCTATATGTCTTTATGCTAGTGATGGAAGTATCATATTTCAGCGTGCTAGAACTAATTCCAAATCTGAAAATGAAACTCTATCATCATTCATCTCTTTGATGAATAAATTTGTTATGTGTTTAGAAAATGTGTTCAATTTTCTAAGCGAGAAAAATTCCTGTGCATTTATATTTGTTTATTCTGAACAAGAAAAGATTGCAATTCAAGACTCATTACTTAAATTAATAACATTGGATCCCAATCAAATTTCTAAAAGCGATCAGTATAAAGCAATGCAACGCATCTTAAATATTTTTCAATACCATTCTTTCTTGTCAGCTTTTGGGAACAACGTTGATAAAAGTTCAAAACTTCCTGATGAACTAAGGGAGTTTCCTAGGCTTATCGTTCTGGAACAATCTTTGAAAGAAAATATTGCAATAAATACTCCAGGATTTTATCGAATCATTGATGTTTGGGAACAAATGGTGAGACCTACTTTAAAAAACAATCAAATATTAGGCAACTTGGAATTTTATATACATAAGATCGATCTTGAAGACATATACACAGCATGGGTTTCTACAACTGCAGACAAAGAAGTGATTAATAAAACCCATTTAATGAGATCCAAATTTGTTAATTCTGTTATTCATGCTTATTATGCTCTTCTTAAAAAAGTTGATAAATGATATTGCATTAATATTAATATTTCACCTCAAGCATTTATTATTTCAACGTTCAAGTGTTTAGTCATTATTTGGGAAAATGATACTTTTTTAGACAATTTTAAGTATTTACATCAGGTTACAAAAGAAAAAGGGCAACTAAAAAAAATTTACTCGGGGAACAGCTAAGTGTAAAATTAGGTTTGATAAAATGATAAGTCAATTTAATAAATGTCGCAGATTATCATGAAATCGGATTAAAATGAAATGAGGGGTTTCTATTTG